TCGGAAGAAGACCTTTACTGATGACCTCCACGGTAGGTTCAGGTGTTGCATTACTAACAGGAGGAATATTTTTTCTGATGAGAGATATAGTGGAATTAGATACCGCCTCAATTACCTGGTTTCCAACTCTCATTTTAATTATATTCATTATTAGCTTTAGTGTAGGTTTACAAACTATGCCTCTCTTCATTGGGTCGGAGATTTTCCCGACGAATGTTAAAGCATATGCTGCCGCTATCTCTGATGTTTGTTTCTATGCCTTTGGTGGAATTTCTTCTAAGTATTTCCAGTTCACCAAAGATGAATACGGAATGTATGTTCCATTCTTTTCTTTTGCAGTTTGCTGCGGCGTTGGATTAGTTCTCATAATATTTTTTGTGCCTGAAACAAAAAATAAAACTTTAGAACAGATCCAAACAGAACTAAATGCCGTAAAACAGACTGCAAAGTAAAAGATAACTCTTTGGTAATTGCTTTTTTAATAATTAATAAATTTGTAGTTCACGAAGTTTTGCGATAATTTATTTCAATAAACGTTGTGCGTGATCAATCACCTAAAATGCCGTTTAAAACATAGTTGCGCACTCCCTTTGTTAAGCTGTTTAGTGTTTCACATTCATAACAAGCTGAAACGAAAACATTTGGGTCTGAATATCGCCGTAATTACAGTGTCCGAGTTGTACCAAGCTGAGTATGAATTAAAGTATTGTAACGTAAATCTAATTACGTGGTTAATTTGTTTATGATTAACTAACAATTAATTTATAACATAAAATGAATTGATTTATAACAGTTAAAATATTATTTATTAACACTCACATATACACAATTTATAACAGCTAACTATTTAACTATTTATTACTTTGGTGTCGAAATTGGAACTCTTCTGAAACGCAATTCGATTTCCTTATATAGCACTCAACTCAACTGTTTTTGAGTGCTACCGAATACTTTCGAACCTGCTAGAATTTTCTCGAACAATCACATTATATTTTCCGGATAGATTGCGTCACATCCGCCTTCGTTCTTAATCGCCCATGACTAATCTTTCATGACGCCTCGATGTCTATTGGGTTTTCTAGAATATTCGCTACTCTGTGTCCCTCTTAAAACTGTTGCGTCTCGGACGACGGTTGTAACGGAGATTGTCCCAGGCAACTCTTGTTCTATAGCGCGAACTTTATGGCGGTACTTGGACGACGACCCTCTCGTTGTTATCTTTGAAATGGAATAATGCGCAGAGAGTGAAGACAAAGATTTAATAATGAAAAACGAAAATTCATACATTACAAAACAAACGACATTTCTTATTATATCGATTACATGCTTCATTCGTATATCTAACACTGTTGTCAAATATCCTAAGATCTAACTTGCAGGTTTGCCACATCATCATTATTTAACAGTTTAACACTCGTGCACCTTCCATTCTTGAAGAAAAACAACCCACCGTCTTACGAATGGATGGCGGGGTTCCAACAGACCAATATCTCCACCTCGGTGCCCTGGAACTCCACCTCCAGCATATTGCACTCGATACGCCAGTCAACTTATCAAGACCACATCCGATGTTTGGATTTGCCAACTTGGTAACGCCACGAATTTGTAATTGTTGTTTCAAGTGCTGTAGCGTATCCCATAAATCTTTGTAATTAGGCTTATTACAAGACCGGTCTTCTGTTACCAGATATTATCGTTCCCCACACTTTCTTCTTGGTCGGGTCTTCTACCAAATTTGAATCACAGGGTAAAGCAATGGCTCTGGTATTTCAAATGCCCTATGACACAGATGTTGAAACAGCACCGACTGAAAATGTCGGCCCTGGTCAGAGTGTAGTTCTAAGTGTACTCCAAATTTTTTTAACAAAACGTATGCCACAGTTATCGCTTTTTGATTTGGTAGAGCATATGCGTCTGTCCATTTACTGAAATACTCCATGGCCACCAAGATTTATTTGTTTCCAGACGATGTATCTGAGAAGGGGCCTCCGATATCAATAGCTATTCTTTCAAATGGACTACCCACATTGAATTGCCTCATTGGTCATATCAAGGCATCAAGGCCATATTGGCCTTGCTTGTGGCTCAAACTGCACATTTTCTGCACCATTCCTTTACATCTTATTTATTTATGTATTTATTGTCTCTCTCTTGTTCTGGGCCCTCAACAGGCATGCGCCCAATTACAAAGTAACTCGCATAATGCTATTTAGAGGTGCCTCTGCAGAGGGTCTTAAGTTGGTTTATACTACTCCGGTATTTACCTTACGAATTAGGAAAACTGCAGGAAAACCTAATTCGGAGTAGCCGGTAGAATGCTCGAAACTGATCTAAGGTAATTCCCATCTCTGCCACAGCTGAAAAATTCACCTCAACCCAGGTTCCCACACCCGACCTCCGGATATATAGCCCAATGCTCTACCACTGAGCCATAAAGCCGGTTTTGCGGCTCCATTAATCTTTTCACTCTTTCCCCAAAGCATTTTCCAATTTCTCATGTTGCGCAAGTTTCAAAGCTTGTTGCTTTTCTACGTCGCAAGCACCATCGATAAACGTCTGCATCGCCAGCTGCTCTATCAAACTTTCCGGAGTCGTAGGCTACGCCAATCTTATCAATCAGGCTATACCGGCTTCGAGTTCTTGCAAAGTTTGAACCGATTTTAGGGTTCGGTTTTTTTAATTAGGCGTAATACACCTGCTGCAAATGTGGGTTCTAACCGTGATACAATTTGCTCAAAATCTTGTTACTGGTGTTTTGGAATAACATCCAATGGAATCCGCCGCAACGCAACTATCAAGAAAGTTGCCTTCTCTTCCAGTGTCCATTTATTTGTAGTCCATCAAATGTCGATGGCATAAACCGAACCGTTGTTGTACGAATACTCTCACACGGTTCGGGGACTTCTTTGCAGGACCATTGTGGGACAGCCAGTAGATCTTGTGTTGTCACAGATGACGTATCATTTTTTTCATCTTCTTCAATGAATACCATAAATCGTTTTCCTAGTTCATCAATTTCGTTTTCTATTGTATGAATCTTATCTTGGACGCCCAGTATCTCATCTTTAATTACACCCCTCACTTCTTATTGACCGGCTTCAATTTTAGCTTCGATGGTTCATTTCAGCTTGATCGGCTTCGATTTTATCTTGACCGGTTTCCATTTCATTCATTCATTGAAGAAGTTGCTCCATCTTTCTGGTTCTGTTCACTTAAAAATGTTCAGCACTTGACACCAGTGTATCGTGAATGTAATTACGTGGTTTTATGTATTTTCAAAAAACTAACAATAAATTTATAATAATCTTATATCACTTACAATTTATAACATAACACCAAGTACATAGAAGTTGGAATTGACTCGAAACACAATTCGGTTTGCGTATATAGCAGATAACATTCTTTCTAGAATGTTCTCGAGTGCTCAAGGATGCTTAAGAATGTTCTAGAACACCTCATATTTCTCAGAAAGATTGCGTCTCCTCAGCCTTTGTTCTTTATCGGCGATGACTCGTCTTTCATGGCGCCTCGATGTATATCGGGATCTCAGGAATACTCGCAACAGTACATTTTCGTGCTTTTGTATGAACCATAACTTTGAAAAATAATAGTAAAGTGGAATTCGCTTAACAATATGTATGTGTTACCGGCAAACTGCGAAATCCGGCATCTTGCAAAATGCCTAGGCATTTCGCGAAATGACGAATGCATCAACAGGCAAAGTAAGAAACGGAGCTGCAGTTCTCAGTTTGCCTGCCTCTCTTTAGGGATTTCGCGAAATGACTAAACATGCAGGCAAAGTGCGAAGACTTCGTCATTTCCCACAGATTGCGCATACAGCGTTGCCATTGGATGGTAAACGACGCGACGAATGCGATTTAATTTAAGTACTCCCTAAAATTGCGTTCGCGTTTAGACTGCATTTCTTCTATGGGTTTTCTGTTGAGTCACGCTTTGGATTTACTGTGGAGAATATATCAAATGGGGAAAGGTACTAACGCGACGGTTTTACGTTTGGCACAGATGCACGCGCAATCTGTGGAAAATAACCAAGAATTCTCACTTTGCCTGAATGTTTAGGCATTTCGCGAAATCCCTAAAGAGAGGCAGGCGAAGTGCGAAGTCGAGTTTCATTTCTCACTTTGCCTGCTGCATTGGTCATTTCGCAAAATGCCTAGGGATTTTGCAAAATGCCGGATTTTGCAGTTTGCCGGTACATAATTATGTACATATACGTTATACCATAATATTGATTATACTATGGTTATACATACTTATTTCCAACCTTAACTTGTTATTTTCGCAATAAATAATAAGCACCGGTTTGCATAATTAATATTGTAATTGAAACCACTACGATGTTTCCGTTGCATCTCCAAACGATAAGCTGCCTGTCAATAATTATTTACTTTACAAATAACTTTAACTAATGCAGAATAACTTTATTTATTTGTATTTACACAAGGGGGTTTCAAGGGGAAGAACAGGTGACCATATCAACGGGTTTACCTGACCTTGTGCCCATTGGTTATGGTGTAGGAACCATTATTTAACCAATAAAAACCATTATTATTATTATTATTTATATAATTTCTAATTGGATTTGCCAAAGGAAAGTACTATACTAAATTTGGTGTTGGAAGATTTTTGATTAGGTGATGATGGAAATGAATGAGACATAAAAAAGGAAGGTGATAGCATATTAATTTGGAGATTTGTTGCCATAAACAACTTATATTAGTTTAATTGCAAGGGTTTAATTAGTATTGTGCCACAGAAAAAAACCATTTTTTGCATAAGTATAAGTGTGGGAACTTGCGTCGCATATCATTTAGAAAGCACTTCAGTTATCCCATGTTATTATATAGATATACAAAAATCCTTAAGTCACTGTTATGTGTTTAAATATCGCCCATGTAGTCACAATTCTTTGTATGCAATTAACGCAATTAACGATTAAAGATAAGGTCCTTTATCTTTTCATTTAATACCTTGGTAAACGTAGCTGTTTTACCGCGTCAATCCAATTCATTCAGTAGTCATGTTTTCAATCCATCCACTAAAAGAAAAGTCACTCCAATATACAGCCGCGCTTACAAGTGAGTAATAATGGAAATCTTATACCTATGTATAAAATCACCATCACTTCTATTGTATTTTTAGGTCTATTGGCAACTATATCTAGTGGTTTACACTTAGGATGGACTTCACCTTACTTACAATTTCTTCTAAGCAAAGATTCCCCAATTCCAATGACTAACGATCAATCGGCATGGGTGGCAACGGTGTACATGGTTGGGGGTCCTTTCGGAGCCCTTTTTACTGGTGCCGTCTTGGACCTAATAGGAAGAAAAACTGTATTATTAGCGTCAAGTTTGGCATTCTTTGTGTCGTGGATGTTAATAGCGTTTGCAACAACACTACATGAACTCTTAATTGGTCGATTTTTTGCGGGTTTTTGTGATGGATTAATATTCGGTGCGATCCCAATTTATTTTGGAGAAATTTTGTATCCTGAAATACGCGGGCTATTGGGTTGCAGCATTACAATCGCTTTTCAGATAGGAACTGTACTTATGAACGTTATCGGCTCATATCTTACCATTCGAGATTCCGCGTTGGTGTTTTCAGTGATACCAGTGCTTTTTCTTGTAACGTTCATTTGGATGCCGGAGTCTCCGAATTACTTTTTAATTAAAGGCAAAACGGCAAAAGCGAAACGTTGTTTAGTTGCACTTAAAGGCGAACGTGCTGACGAAACAATGAGTTCAATTTCGATGGCAATTGAAAAAGAAAATTTAAAACGCACCCGATTCGCTGACCTGTTCAAAAAAGTTAATAGACGAAGTTTGCTCATTGTGATAGCACTACGCATGACACAAGAATTTAGTGGCGTGGTCGCATTTACGTTCTATGCCCAAACGATATTTGAAGAGGCTGGAGATGCAATTTCACCATTGTTATCTACTGTTATCTTCTATGTGGTACAAATTGTATTTTCCTTCATAAGTTCACTGTTCGTGGACAAAATCGGAAGAAGGCCTTTACTGATAACTTCCACGGTAGGATCAGGTGTTACTTTACTAGGAGGAGGAATATTTTTCCTGATGAGAGATGTAGTGGTACTAGATACCGCCTCAATTACCTGGTTACCAACTGTCATTTTAATTATATTTATTATTAGTTTTAGTTTAGGCTTACAAACTATGCCTCTCTTCATTGGGTCGGAGATTTTCCCAACGAATGTTAAAGCATATGCTGGCGCTATTTCTGATGTGTTTTATTATGCTTTTGCTGGAATTTCCTCTAAGTATTTTCAGTTCACCAAAGATGAATACGGAATGTATGTTCCATTCTTTTCTTTTGCAATTTGCTGTGGCGTTGGATTAATTCTCATAATATATTTTGTACCTGAATCTAAAAATAAAACTTTAGAACAGATCCAAACAGAACTAAATACCATACAACAGACTGCAAAATGAAAGATAATTCTTTGGTCATTGCATTAATAATTAATAAATTTCCTAATCATTATCCTTTGCGATAATTTAATGAGAGTTTTGCGTGATCGTTTACTTAAATTTCCCTTTAAGGCAAATTAAGAGAAGCTCCCCCTCCATGGTCCAGACCTCAATAGGCTGAGGTTTAGGTGATTAATAGAACGTAATACAAATGCAAGTTTAAAGCAATCTTTTTTCTATAAGTAACGATAGTATTTATTAATTCTCGTTTTACTTATTCTCTAACGGTATTGAAAATTCTTAACTTACAAGTTTTGAACGCAATATCTTATATCGATTCAGACCTCCGTTCTCTAAGTACAGATCTTCAAAAGGTGCCTACCTAACTTTCCCAGAAAAATCTAATTAAAGCTCTAAAAGCATTCCTCAGATTGACCTTCCTGTTCGGGTGCTTCTGCCGCCACAACGTTAAATGTAAAGGGTGAAAGTTCACGCTGCCGTGTATAAACTCATCGTAATCATTATAATTATATTCATACACATTGTCAGGGCCAAATACAAGTAAAACATATAAGTAGGGCACTCTTACCTCGAATAACATTAGATGTTGACGCCAAGAAATCAATCAAAAGAAAACCTCCCAAACCGCACGGCTCGGTATATAATTAGTTGATTAATGCCTGAAGGACCTCGCTCTACTCGTAATCTGCCAGGTACGGTACTTAAATGGCCAACTCCTTCAGAAGAAGTGGTGGTCTCCACACAAAATTCAATCTTAACCGAGATGGCAAAGATACTGAAAATTACAAATTACTTAAATGTAATCACAGAAGAGGCAAAAATAATTACCTATCAAATAAGACGCTAAAGAGTTACGGAAGTTGTTCCTTTGTTGAGGATCGAATCTCGATATTAAATCCCCTTCATGACTCGTTGGCCCATTTCAGAGCAAAATTGCCGCTCGATATCCGTAGATGGCAAGATGTCAAGAGCGTTGGCACTCGCAGACGATGTTGAGCTTAATCCAAGGTTATCACACTCGTATGTCGGACATCAAAGTTTACCTACTTCTTGTAGAAGAGGGTTAAATTGTATACGAAGCAACAATTTTATTGTCGATGATTACAGCCGAATCTAAAGAACGGTACACCTTAATACACGAAATGCAAATCGCGGTACTTACGATAAGAAAGGAAGAACGCAAATTATATCCTCACTATAGGAGTTATAGGTGAAATCCGTCCAGTTAATTACTTCGGAATCCAATCGCCAGAGATCAATATGGATGATGGCATTTAAAATTCCATGTTCAGGAAATATAGCTCCTTCCTAGGTTCTCTCAGTCTTAACGCAGGTTTTTTTAACCATGAATTCTGTCGTTTTATATTAACCACACTGTAAATCGCATGTATGTCGAAATAGTAATAGAGAAGGTTATAAGGTTACTCATCTGCGAACAAACATCAATTTCATTGTATACTGTAGTTCAGGATTCACGCACAATTTGTAATTGGACCTCTTTATATTGGCGCAAGTCTGTTAAGGGCCCAGAATAAGAGAGGGATAATAATAATAATAATCTTGATAAAAGTTAAGGTTGAGGTCACCAGTGATGACTGATGTTAATGCGGAAGCCTGCATACTTCTTTTCTTGTACTTTAACTAATCATTTTCGACTAAATTGAAAAAAGCACTTGATGATCGGTAAACACAAATTATTACAAAATTCATACACTCTAATTTCAGTTTAATAGCCGAGCACTCAATGTTACTTTATGAAGATAAATCAATAAATTCAGTTAGATTCAAAGCGCTCAAATTGTTTTTCGTTAATATAAGCACTTGTCCTCCATGTGGAGATGACTTCCCATTGTGTTGTCACTCAACCAACTTTCAGAGATGCCAAAGAATCATCTTCTTCAGATCAATTTCTTCAAATTTATTTTTCATCGATCGCGTATTTAAATGGCACACGGTTAGGTAGGTATCTGTGAGTTTTGCACAAGACGGAATAAAAAATGGTTGAATCGTGCGCCTTTTGGCCATAAATCAGGCTTCTTCAGATTCTCAAATTGATCGCTTAGTACAGATACTTTAAATGAACTGTAATTTTCCGGGGGTTTCGATCGTAATTTTTCGCACTCTCGGAACTGATTGTGAACTAAATGTGCCATTATATCATCAACGGTACAGCTGGGTCTAAGTTGCAAACATGTAAGTGCGGATAGCTTTTGGCGTATTTTATGTTTAAATAACTGTTACCGGGACCTTCTTGTAGACTATTTTCCTTGTGACCGTGGTAAAACCATCCATATTTCCTTTCGCTACATTATTATTATCAGATGTCGGCTTATTGATATTTGCAGCAAGTGGAGGCACAAATTTCGAAAGAAGAGGCATCTCAGATGAGACAGCGGAGGCAGAGAAACAAATGGCTTTCCGCTTCCACACAAGGAATAACACAATAGTACGAATATAAATCCGAAAACCCGAAAGTTCTACGATTTTCGGTTACCGAGATTTTGATCGATTTTTATAAAGACGCCTTGAACAGCCGACATGTAGTTAGTGAAACAATAAGCTCCTTTATGAGAATCAAAAATGCGCTAAAAAGGAATGTTTACTGGTGAAGACGTCTTCATTGGATTAACAGGAACCATTCGAGCGAATTACCTATATCAAATTCAGTGAACTGTTTCTTGGAAATTAGCATTTATACATTAAGATTCTTACCCTTCACCATTTTTCGGAATGGGTACTATCAAAATACCGCCAAATTTCTGTAGAATAAAGAAGATCACGGGGACATTCTTTGAATAAGCTCAGTAACGCGAGCCGTATATGAAGATGCATTTTTATAGTGTAACAAAAAACTTTCATCAAGTTCTTAAAAAACGTCAGATATTTATTCATGTACCAAGTAGTGACTGTGCGCTGTTCTAAACGGGCCCTTCTAAAAACGTAGGTACATAACTTTGTTCATTGAACGGTCCTTTTTTGGAGTTTTCGGTGTTGAATTATCTTCATAAATTTATACATAAGATCCCTGCCGAGTAGGTAAGGTGGTATGGAAGTCTCATAACCTGTCTCAATTTTGAGAATAATCTGACATTTTCGGTTTCCATGCTAGTTCTCGTACGTTCTTGCTCCTTTTTTTATTCCCGGTTAATTATAGCTGATCTGAGCCTGTGAGTAACACCAATAACCAGTATTTTGGATCTTATATACAGCCATTGCATGACACACAAGCATAACACAATTTCATTATGCATACGAATTTAAGTATATCATATAGTAGCTCGTAAGCCTCTCTATATTAAGCATCAATCGAAAGATAAAGTTCCTTATCTGTTAATTTATTACAGGTGAACCTACCTACACGATTCGAGTTACTTACTTTTGTCGTGTATGTAAGGGAAATCGATTATGGTGAAGTTTCCGAACCTCCCATTGCAAAAAAGGTCACTCCAATACGCAGCTGCGTTTACGGGTGAGTATAAACGTTCCTTATTCAGTGGTATATCAATACACAAGGTGGCCCACTGAAAACAGTCAATTTTGGCCGCCTAACGACTGCAATTTTACCAGACACGTTCAAGCACATCAATTTTAGCTTTGATCTAAATTAAATCAACCCCTAAAGCGGACAGAGAATCTCGGTGTGACCCTACGGGGACATTGGATTTGACCCATTTTTATTAGGTTTCTTACATGTGGCATATAGGTAATTGTGCAAAGTTTGAACCGAATCGGTCCAAACGTTCGACAGTTATCGTGTTCACGGACGGACAGACGGACACCATCGACTCCCCTATAAGCTTGCATCGGTTTGCTCTGGCGTTTAATAATACTATTTACACAACTTCAACCCTGAAAAGGGGGTGAATTCTTCTATAGATTCAGGTTGCGTTGCATATATTATCGATTTAAAATAGCCCCACAAGAAAAAATCGATTCGACGTCCAACCCATCTACGAGGGAATCTAAGCTCCAAGAACTGTCTAACATTCTATGCAAAATGAGAAGGAGCCCCGTCTTGTTGGAATATCACCTCGTCTTGTACGTAACGCTCATCACGTTCCATATAATGTTAGTTATCATTAGATCAATATGATCTTTTGATAATGACACAGATACATGTCTCGAGTCAGATTACCGGGAACAAAAAATGTCCAACAAGATAATCTGACCAATATCACAGATATACGTAAAGAATGAAATTATGAACATGCTTATTTGCGTGTTCTTCAGTGAACAGAGGTGTTGTTGTGAACAGAACGCAAATTCGCCACCATTTTTAGGACACTTTTGCAAATTTAACTTTTAATCTCACTTTAGCCGGTTGCTGGCTGGCTGGCAGCAAATGCGGCTAGACTAGAAGAGTAGTAGAGGAATTGTAATTGTGTAATTGACAACTTTAGAGGGGGGGCTACATGATGTGGGGTCGGCGACATCTGGGCGCCATCTCCGAGCGTGCTATACTAACCTGGAGATTTTTCAGTTTTTTCCTATCTTCTTCTACAATTTTGGGCCGATTGTTTGACAAATCTGTGTATAGCGTTATTACTTAGCCCCTGTAGAATTATTCTGAAATTTTTCCTTCTTGTTTGACATCGGAAATTTTGGAACTTCCAATTTCCAAAGTTTATAACTAATACAAAATTTGCAAGTTTACAGTTTAATGAAATTGTACTTTTTTTCCATAGTTATCAAATTACCGGACTTTTTTAACGAAAAATCGTATTGAAAGTGTTACTGTTTTTCGCGATTTATGCTATACGTTTCCATGGCGTTTAGTCCGATCTATGAACAGTAGCATCAATTTTTTAGTGACAGTAAATCGCGAATGTCAATGATATTAATCGCAATATCGCATCGTGTGTGGGGAGCTATTCAATTATGTGTTATAAGGATCACTATACAAACAAGTAAAAAAGTAATCGTAAACGATTTACATAAAGCGCATTTTCACTTGCATTCATTTCCCATTTGTAAGATGCAACTTCTGTTAAAATCGTAAAAATCCGGCCACAAATATGAAAGATAGCGTTGCACATGGGCAATCCATTGTTGACGTGCTACTTCAATTTCAGTTTATGAGAAGAATTTCATATCAATGCTTTTCTAAATAAGAAAGTTGGAACTGCGCATGCGCAAACCTAAATTTTAAAACTAATGTTAGATTTTCCTTTGTTCCAAGCGCCTAAGTATCAAATTTCACTTAAATAGTTCCATAGATAAAAAAGTTGGCACTGCGCATGCGCAAAATAAAATTTTGAAACTGGCGCTAGATTTTCCTTTTTCCAAGTGCCTATGTATCACATTTCATTTAAATTCTTCCATAAATAAAAAAGTTGGCACTGCGCATGCGCAAAACCAAATTTTGAAACTGGCGTTTGATTTTCCTTTATTCGAAGTGCTTATGTATCAAATTTCGTTTAAATTCTCCCATAAATAAAAAAGTTGGCACTGCGCATGCGCAAAACCAAATTTTGAAATTGGCGTTTGATTTTCCTTTATCCCAAGTGCCTATGTATCAAAATTCGTTTAAATTCTTCCATAAATAAAAAAGTTGGCACTGCGCATGCGCAAAACCAAATTTTGAAATTGGCGTTTGATTTTCCTTTATTCGAAGTGCTTATGTATCAAATTTCGTTTAAATTCTTCCATAAATAAAAAAGTTGGCACTGCGCATGCGCAAAACCAAATTTTGAAATTGGCGTTTGATTTTCCTTTATTCCAAGTGCCTATGTATCAAATTTCATTCAAATACTTTTATAAGTAAAAAAGTTTGCAATTCGGTTTATAAATGGTCGAGATGCGAAAAGGGCACTGTGAATTTTGAATCGATTCGATTCAACTTTTGGCATTGCGTATTATATGGCTAAAGCTATGCCCATATTGAATTTCATGCAATTCAGTTCATAACTAACGGAAATGTAAAAGCGATCGAACATTTCTAAACAAAGTTATCGTTCACACGGACAGATAGATGGACAGACAGACAAAGGAACAGACGGAAAGACCAACCGGCAGGCGACAGATAGCAATGCAAAATTATAAACGATCTCTAGGATCGTTAATAAACGGCAAAAGAGTAAAATTATGGAACATGTAAAAAACGGTTTTTTGTTTTTTTTACAATAACTTTTTTTGTAAGCGGTACAGAAAAATTCCTTCCTTGGTACAAGACTCGACACCATAACGAACCAAATAGCGAAAAAAGTAGAACAATAGCTCTTAAGATAAAGAACTAGTAGCGTCGCAAACTTAGCGGACGGACGGACGGACGGACAAAGTGGCCACAATAGCGCATTTTTTTTTTGTGGAAATGCGCTAAAAATGTTGTGTACAATACATTTTGAAATTGTCTTTTTTTCATGACTTTGCTGCAAATTCATGAAAAAAGTATCACTTTCAAAACTAGTTGTACAAATAGCTATAGTCAGGAATCTGGGTATCAAAAAGCCGCTTCTAAAATACTGACACCTGCATTCGAAGATATACATTTTGAAAAATACGTATCTTGTGCAGAATTAGATGCCGATTCCGAATCAAGAGGGCGCGATGGTCGCAGGGATAGCAAATAGCTAGAAAAAAATAATTTGTACAAAATTTGGCACTGCCCAAAAGTTAGAAATTTTACCTTTACATCGCATTTCCGAAGTTATTTATGAATATTTTTCAAGAATTTGTGCACCATTCGAAAGCTCATTATATTCGCCGTCTCACAGAACAAAAAGAAAGTCAATGTTGCCTTTATCAACCACTCTGTAAACTGTTAAAGCTGTATATGCGAGCGAAGTGTAATAAAAATTTCAGTAGCGAGGTATTTTCGTTATTATTGGAGATAGAGGTATACATATACGAGACCAAATATGCAAAATGAAACAAGGTAGTTTTTTTTACTAAAACATTTTTTCAATCAGACAAACCGTTTAAGAAATATAATAGGTTAAACATTTTTTAAAATGTAACGCGGGCGCGCCAAAATAGCAATACTGCCGATACGCGCTTAAGAGTCTTCTGTACCCACTGCGCCCAATGTAAATTTCCATAAGAGCGCCCGCCATAAAAACTCTAGTTGTTTTTCAAAAAACAATTTTTTTTAAGAACTATTTTATAAATTTAGACCTTTATCTACAAAATGTTCGGACTATTTTTTTTTTTAAGTTTATAGCAACTGAATACCGATTGTTTAAAGATTAGATGTTTCGCACCGTTTATTGCGCTAATCTGTTTTATTTTTTTACTCTCGATCAAGACGATTTATGGAAAAAGTAAACCGACAGTTTTTTAGATAAGTTACTTCTAAACATAACCCCAAAAAATGAAATCATAATTTTTGTAAATAAAGTCTGTATCTTGGCGGGCGGTAAATCAACAATTTGAGTGTAACAAGTGGCGCCGCTGCACAGTGTCGGTGGGAACTAACTAAGGACCAAGACAGGAGTTGACAAAGCAAGAAATTCATCTTATCTCTTGCAGCTATAATCATCTATACACTAAAATGCAAAAAAGTTGCGCTTAGGTAAAGAGAGTCGCATAAATCTGTCTGCGACCACATTTACACAAAATCTCCATCATCTCGCTCTGTCTGTCGGTCAACATCGACCGTTGCCGGCCTTTATTAACACGCACGCTTTTGCATAAGCCCGTCTCAGTCGCAGTCCCGCACCCATGGTTTGTTGTAGGGATGTAACGGAAGTGGTTACATCGGAACCGAATTCGGAAGAGGAGTTTTAAAATTTGGTTTATCGGAACCGAAATCAGAATCGGAACCGGAAGCGGAACCTTAAAGAAGAGACATGTCACCTCTTAGATTACAATACTAATATGTAAATAGAACAAATTAAGTAACTCGAAAAGAAGCAAATTATACTCAAGGAACACAACAAGTGAAAAGATAATCAACAGAAGGCACGAGGTGAGGAAGGTTTCTCCGCGCGACAATTATAAACGTGTTTGTACGCGAACGCACTGATTGTGGCCGCACCGAGCCTGTCCATAAACCTCCGATATAACATCCAATTAGAATTTGTCGGAACCGAAATAGGAATCGAAAGTTCAAAATCAATCGGAAGTTCCGCTCTTACGGAATCGGAACCGAAGCTCCGTTACATCCCTAGTCTGTTGTATCAAAGAGTACGTTACGTACTCTTAGACTGTAGTTAGGTTAGGTACGTCACATCCGTTTTCGTTCTTTATCGCTGATGACTCTTCCTTCATGGGACCTCGATGTCTATCGAAATTTATGGAACGTTCGCTACAGTATTTTCGTACCACCTTAATGCAAACTGCGGCATCGACCCTTACAATAACAACCAATAATACATGGTAAACCTACTTTAGCTCAACTACAGTTTCCAATACAATTACTTACATTCTTACATTTACAATATACACTCTCACGTAATGGATTTGGGCGGATGCTAATTGTTATAAGTGTTGGGATTAACATATGATCCTTACGTAACCAACCAAAGTTGAACGGATCTGGAAGCACACGATTAACAAGACTCACCGTTTTCCAAACAATCAACTGATAAACTGCTCTTAATAAATGGGTATGTCTTCCGTGGGGGTACGTTTCTGATATCTGTTTTGCAACATTTTAGTTTATAACTATGACACACTTTAGCATGCGCGATTCTGCCTAAAAGCTTTGTAGCTCTTGTGACGTTATTAATTAAGATTTGGTGTGCGTATTGTGGAACAGCCTGTATGTACATAAAGAAAACTTCGCTAAACCTTTGAATATAAATAATTTTATATTCAAAGGCTAAACTAAATTGCTTATCGCCAAGTGCAGGCGGGCATTGTAAAGCATACACATTTTTGATTATTTTATTTGAACGTGAGGTCTACTCAAGCACGTCGTATTTAAAGTGTAATTGCGTTCACCAAGCAATTAAGTAAGCAGTAATTTAGTCGCAATTACCTATATTAGACGGATAGCTGTATTATTGACATTTCTCACAAACTGGAAAGGATTGGGCTCGGATTTGTGCCTGTGGGGACGGAGTCTCATAGAGACGTGAGTATTAATTATTCCTTTTGGACTTACAAAGTATTGCGGGTTAACCTATAAGCGTACTTTCTTACACAGTCCGGTTTACGGGATACCTCATTATTACGGTTGGAAATTGGGTAACCGTTTAAATCAGCCACTCCATCGGCTTACGAACGCTGCCATCAACGTGACTGAGTACTGGGATTATTCGCTAGCTCCTGGCCGTCTTGCCTGTACCTGCTGCACCACCTGCAACCCCAACATAGGATCTAGTTCATCTGTAATCACAATAGATACTCACCGGAAGCGGAACCATCTCATCTCTACCATACCTACCATCTGACCATAAGGGTGAGCGTTGCTGAACGGTTGCGTGGATGCGAGGGTGTTTGTATTGTATGTTAGTCTGTAAGCTGTCACAGGATTTGTTATATTATATTGTAGTCGTTCATCGCATGTTTTGTAATTAAATATATATATGCTAACGTATCCGAGTGTCTTCCGAATAGTTGTTTGATTTAGTCTTCCCCGGAGATTCGCCGTTACTCCGTTTATTGGTCCCAAACGGCGTGGCGCCCTGTATATATTGTATATGTCATTAGTTTGTTGTAACCCACCCCTACCCCCTGAGTTGTCGCGCCGAAGAGCACGTTACACTCTCTATTTTATATCTAAGAATATGTATACCAAATTTGGTTCCAATCGATTCCGCCGTTCAGCCGGAAATAAGAGTATAGACACACAGACCGACAGACAGACGGATATGATCGAGATTTTGTGTAGATGTAGGTCGTAGACGGATTTATGCGACAGCCGGTATAGTATTGCTATTCTGGCGCGCCCGCGTTACATTTTCAAAAATGTTTAACCTATTATATTTCTTAAACGGTTTGTCTGATTGAAAAAATGTTTTAGTAAAAAAACTACCTTGTTTCATTTTACATATTTGGTCTCGTATATGTATACCTCTATCTCCAATAATAACGAAAATACCTCGCTACTGAAATTTTTATTACACTTCGCGCGCATATCCAGCTTTAACAGTTTACAGAGTGGTTGTTAAAGGCAACATTGACTTTCTTTTTGTTCTGTGAGACGGCGAATATAATGAGCTTTCGAATGGTGCACAAATTCTTGAAAAATATTCATAAATAACTTCGGAAATGCGATGTAAAAGTAAAATTTGTAACTTTTGGGAAGTGCGAAATTTTGTACAAATTATTTTTTTCTGGCTATTTGCAATCCCTGCGACCATCGCGCCCTCTTGATTCAGAATCGGCATCTAATTCTGCACAAGATACGTATTTTTCAAAATGTATATCTTTGAGTTCACATACCATGTTCGAATTTTGACTCCCAGATTCCCGACTAGTATTGAGTTACTGCTATGCACTTATTACACTTGCGTCACATAAAATTTTCTGACACAAGCTATCAATTTTTTCAACGCCTACTCAATAAACATGTAAAACGGATCTGCCAATCCATCAAATAAAGTTTTCTCTAGAACGCCTGATCGAATTTGAAAACTAAAAACAGAATGAAACTTCTTTTCGAACTATGTAATATTTACCACCCCTTTCCATTTAAAACGTCTCTCTGAAATTGACGTGTTCGAACATTTCTGGCAAAACTATCGTTAAGCGGCCAAAATTGGCATTGATTGTTTTCAATGGGCGACCCTGTGCAATGTACACATATATCATCATCCTTTCTGTTGTGTTTTAGCTTTACCAGCAACTTTATCCAGTGGCCTTCACTTAGCATGGACTTCGCCTTACTTACCACTCCTTTTAAGCAAAGATTCTCCAATTCCCATGACGAACGATGAATCGTCATGGGTTGCAACAATGTATATGGCGGGTGGTCCCTGCGGAGCTCTCCTTAGTGGCGCTCTTTTGGACCGGGTAGGACGCAAGACTATACTATTATCATCAAGCCTGGCGATCTTTACTACGTGGATTATAATAGCGTTTGCGACCACAATACAAGAACTTCTAGTTGGACGGTTTCTTGCGGGTTTTTGCGATGGATTAATATTTGGGGTAACTCCAATTTATTTTGGAGAAATTGCGGATGCGCAAATTCGCGGACGATTGGGTTGTAGCATTGCCATCACGTTTGAGATCGGTAGCGTACTAATGAACGTCATTGGCTCATACTTATCCATTCGACAGTCTGCGTTGGTATGTTCGGCTATTCCTGTGCTGTTTTTTGTAACATTCATCTGGATGCCAGAGTCCCCGAATTACTTTCTAATTAAGGGTGAAACGGAGAAAGCCAAACGTTGTTTAGTTGCACTTAAAGGCGAAAATATTGATGACACCATGAGTGCAATTTCGAGTGCCACTGCAGAAGAAAGTTTAAATCGCACGCGATGCGCTTCCTTATTTAAAAAGGTTAACAGAAGAAGCTTGTTCATTGTGGTAGCACTCCGCTTGACACAACAATTTAGTGGCGTGATCGCATTCACGTTCTATGCCCAAACGATATTTCGAGAAGCTGAGGATGCAATTTCACCCTTGCTGTCTACTGTGATTTTTTATGCTGTCCAGCTGACGTTTTTGTTGATGAATTCTCAGTTGGTGGACAGAATCGGAAGAAGGCCTTTGTTGATTACGTCAACGATAGGTGTAGGTGCTGCGCTATTTGCGGAGGGCACATTTTTTTTAGTGCGAGATGTCGTAGAACTAGACACCACGGCAATTGCGTGGTTACCAGTTCTTATTTTAATTATATTTATAATTAGCTTTGGCTTGGGGTTGCAAACTATGCCTCTCTTCATTGGGTCAGAGATATTTCCACCGAATGTAAAAGCATATGCTGCCGCTATATCCGATGTTTGTTATTATGCTTTTGCTGGGATGTCTTCAAAGTATTTTCAGTTTGCTAAAGATAAATACGGAATGTACGTTCCATTCTTTTCGTTCGCATTTTGCTGTACTATTGGGTTAATTTTCATAATATATTTCGTGCCCGAAACGAAAAACAAAACTTTGGAAGATATCCAAATAGAACTAAACTTTCTGCAACAAGGTGAGCGATCTAGTCATCCAAATGGCAGCATGAAATTTCATTCCGAACAACACTTTCAAAAATAACCTTCTTTTAAAGTCCAGAATACCAACCTACAAGGGAGTAATCTAACGCTATAAGGGTTGGTTAACCATTCCATTATTAGGAGAATTCATTTATTAAAGATAGTTCAGCTGTGCGCTAAAATTAGGCAGATAATAATTAATATCTGAGAGACCTAACGTAAGTAATTGCTGTGAAATATATGTATTGTATCAGAAATACAATGTACAGAACATAGTGTGCAGTTATTTTATGATAATATCTCTAGTCAGTGTTATAATAAATAATTTAATTAGAAACATATTTTCAGAAATGTTTGTTTTAATTTATTTATAGCCATTCCATTTTCCTTTTTACACAAAATTGTATAGGGATCCTTTGTACTTTGGTTGGATACTTGGATTTAGGTTCAAAACCTTAATGATAGTAAAGATATAATACCTACGACACCAATACTCGACCCCATTTGACCGGATTAATTTAATCTGCCGTTTGGTCCGGGCTGTTACAGTTTCGCAAATTTAATTTAATTTATATTATAATTATTAAATTAAAGTAAAATTTATACATGATTTACACACGATTAACTATACTTCAACGAATAAACTGCACCCCTAGACCTAAAACTTATATTAAAAAGCTGTGAGGGGCTTGCCGAATGTCGCGAAAGTTGCAATATTAGTGGCACCGCTATTCATATCATCATAAAAAATGGGGAGAACAATACAAAAATAATAGAATTTCTTAAAATAGCCAATCTATACAACGAACTGTGACACTGGATTATACCAAGTTTTAATATCTACTCACCATAATTCATCATGACTGATTGTACCTAAAAAGAGAAATACACATTAACAATAAATAGTATCTCAAATAAATACTCACCATCATAGATCAATAAAAACATCTTTTTCCCGACAGAGGTAGCTAATAATCTTAGCAAGTGATGCTTCTTTTATCGTTGATCTAAATCTAGAAATTAAAAAAAATTACTAAAATTAATATCAATAATGGACCATGTAAATTACCTACACATATTAATACACTGTGTTTGTCGCACTCACTACATAAAATAGGAAAATTACCTAATTTTCCTTGAAATATGGTACGCCTTCGAAACTATTCCGCCTAGGCTTTATAATTTTATATTCAAAGGCCTAGGTCTTGTTCTTCCAGTTTGCTATCTACGCAAATTGAAGCGTGTTTAACATCCAATATCGATGCCGAAGTGACTTAAAATTCATTAATGTATTACACAAATAAATTAATTAAATTTACGTTACAGTATTAAACAAATTAGACAGCAGGTTCTTAATCGAACTAAAACAAGTCAACTTTCTGTAAATTACAGAAGAAAGACTATAAGCCTCAGCTATATTTTCTGGTAGTTTTTATTTGATTCGCGGTTAGCTCAGGAATAAAAATGTTTTTTATTCCCCATATCTTGCTGAAGTTTGACCATTTATCTCCTCTTAAGGCCTGAAATTCAAAATGTAATGCTCTGGTTTGATTAAACTCGAATAAATACACATGTGAATTTGGTCGATTGAATATATTAATAAAATCAACGGCGATCCAATTCCATAGTTCTGGATGTAAAATATTAGTTTAGTTCATACGAGAAATACACAAAAATCTCGGGATTACGTGCCCATGCTAAATTTGATCCTTGTCCAAACTGTCATCTATATACCTATAGTAAATTCCTGGTAATTCTTTTGTTTAAAATATACACACCTTTGAATGTGAAACAAAACTTTAATCTACCAAAGTATTGGTATCACTGAAATCAAATGCAAAATTCCCAATCAATGAAATAAAATACCCCTAATCCTTTGAATCCGCTTCTTATCAATAAACGCAATACAAAAATGTTTCATGCAAATGATTCTCATAGATCGATTCCTTTAGGAATGTTAGAAGTACTTCAAATCAAAGTAAAATAACGCGACCACTAATTAATACAAATCAAACAATAACATAACTTACAGTTATTGACGTCAGTAATATCCTCTTCTGGTTAGAAATTGATCTTAGCACTCCTTGGAAAATCCCGCTTTCTCTAGAAATATAGAAACAGATGGCTTCGATGGTGCAGTTAGCTTTCTGGGTCACCTTGGTAACGATATATTCGTGAAGAATCCAAAGTGTGACGGAAGAAAAGTTCAAATGAATCGCGAGGCCAAGCAAACCGGCTACAAATTCTCGAAACTAAAACTCGAGATCATCATTATGCACAGGAATAAAATGCCAATGTCCGCTGTGTTGATATTAATTTAACCCAATTTATTAACTAGGTTTTGTTGCGGATAAATGCATTGATTAATTGTTTTTAAATTCCCTGCTGTATGATGTATAGAAAATTGTATTTATCTGACGATGCATTATCCAATGACGTCACACAACTTTGAGACACTGGCTTTTAACTAGCCGTTACAATTAGCAATCCGAAAAAAAAAAGAAATTCTTTGTCACAAACGAGTATTGTCAGTTCATTTAAACGCGTTTTTCTTCGGAAAATGTTCCTTCGCGTAAATAAACGGCCTTGCTACGAATAAGGCTGTTTTTGCCCGTAATTTACTGTAATTTGTCTATTCGCGAAAATATAAAATTTGCAGGTAACCCAAACTTAGTCAACAATTACAAGACTGAAAAATATAAGCAACGTTCTTTTTAGAACATTTTCACTCAAAATAAAGCGAGTAAAATCTTATCTCTGTCAAATAACCTTTCGCAAAGCAAAAATGTTAGCTCACCTGAAAAGGTATGTAACCGCTCCCGAAATTAGCTGCTAATCATCACAATTATGCGAAAATAAAATTCTCACACACAAATAATACGTGCTAACTCTTAGAAAGTCGAACCTCGTTTTAATTTTTACGCGATCGCTCTTGAAACTATAACGAAGAATTATTTAAGCGCACCAAAAAGAAGATACGTGCTTGCTGACCGTCTAACTTAGACTGACTTAAAAAACCCCGCGCCACGGTCTCTCTTCGCCTATCTCGAACAGCACACTTTTATCGAAAATGCACACGTTGTTATCGCCTTTTATTTCCAGACATATTTTTGTTCACGGTTATTATGAAGCGGTACATATAAAAATTTCCCTATGTTTAACAAAAATTGACCCCATCCATGTGGTCTAAATACTGGTACAAAGAAATCGAATTGAAAGCCGACCTTTCCAAAAGTAAGATTTCCTACTATTTCGAAAGGAGTTTTAATACAAGCACCCACTTCTAAATGTTTGTATCACATCACAACCAAGAAGTAAACAGTAACAGTATGTAAAAAGCGCCATTATGTAACTGAAAAGGTTGCATCCGATAATTAACCTTAAACGAAATTTCGGTTTTGAATATTTTTGGTTGTTAGTTGCAGTTGACCCGCCACCTATTACAAGTATCTCGTAATATAATTACAATTTATCTTTCAAAAATGTTAATTTTTCAACTACACTAAGACATGGGGATTTTCTATTAATTTTAAAGGCAAGACTATAGCGTTTGCTATATTTTCTGGTAGCTTGTCCATTGCATCTCTTGCAAATTACAATGTAGCAAATATTCCAGAAATCCGGATAGACATCGAGGCGCCATTAAAGATTAGTCATCGATGCATGACTATAAGGAATGCGGAGGCGGCGCATTCCTTTCTTGAAATGTAATCCCCTTTGTATATGTTTCGCGAACCTTCGAGAAACGTTCCATTTCACTATATAAGTAAATTGAAACGTGTTTGAGTTCAGTTACATTTTCAACGCCAAAGATATAAACAGTTCGCTCTGTTATAAATTGTGTATATGTACTTATGTGATAAATATTATTTTAACTGCTATAAATCAATTCATTTGAGGTTATAAATTTATTGTTAATTAATTGCAAATAAATAAAGCCCGTGATTAAATTTACGTTACAATAATCATAATATCGTAATTTTTTTACTTTCTTTTCTATATAGTTTGATAGTTCTTCTACTGTACCTCTTAATATAATCAAAGTAGCGGCGTACTTTTGCTCGCTTCCGCTAGCTCTTCAGAACTACTCATTTTCTCCACTGGTTCACTCTCTATGAACTCAAAGCATCAGTTGTTCGCTGATAATGACAACCTTACAGATGTCAAATTATTCTGTACCCATCAAATCGTAGAACATTTGAAACAAGTAAAAAGGTTTTCGCCCAATGGCGAGTAACTTCAGCGCATTTCCATGCATTGATCAGTACTTCCCAAAAGACCATAGCTGTGTGCGCTATGTTTTTTTTTACTAGACGCATCTATGGTTAAGATTTCAAAGAAATATCTCCATAAATAAGAAAGTTGATATTGCGCAGCCTGCTCATGCGCACATCAATCGTCAAGATTTTTCTTGGCTCAGGTGCCAGAGCGCCAGAAGCTACCGAATTAAAAAAAACGAACTAAATACATTGAAAACTGTAGGAGTTAACGCCTCCGACGGAGGGACAGACGGGCGGGCAGACGCACGAACAGATGGGCGGACGGACGGACAGAGAAAGTGGCCACACTAGCGGGGTGCGCTTTGTTGGAAAATGCGCTAAAAATACGATATCAAAAGATGCACGACGGACTTACATGCTATAAATCAATCACCAATGCCGACTAGAAATGGTAACCTAATGGTATATCTTGGAAAGTAGAAACCTGACAAAGTTACGCTGCAATTTTCCAAGATGTTGTTTCCCTACTAAAAGGTGGAAGGCTAGAGGAATAGAAAAAGCAACATATTATTCTCTATGAATGCAAAACTTTGCGGGTTTTTTTTACTTTTTTAATCCAAAGCAAAGGAACCCACAGTTTTCGATGATTTTTACCACCCTGTATATTATAGGTTTGTAAAAAGTACAAATTATACCGGTTTCAGTAGTGATACACATTTCGGCAGCGTAGCGGCCATAATCAATTCGTGATAGTTCAATTGATATATGGTTTCTTTTTAAAACTGACAAGTAGGAAATCTCTAGGAAAAAAGTATTCAACAACTTACATATTGTTGTATTAGCTATACACATATAATATAGACTATAATTTAACATCACTTCTAAGAGGCGTTATAAAATTTACTTGGTCTTAAATAATGATCTTTAGGAACAGATGATGATAAATTTTCTTCCAACAAACAATCTTTTATATTTTTCTTCGTTTTAAAGCACGCTTCCAGGGCGTTTTTAACACCACTACTGTCAATCATTCTCAAATCACTTGCATAATCCAGTGCGGCACACACCCTAATAAACTTGGATACGTAATCTACACCATAGTTTCCGAATTCGCCTGTTTGATAATCCCATGGCACCAGGTAGTGGTATTGCAACCAAAATTTTTTTTTTATTAAGAATATCGCGTTTGTGTCCAAGGGGTACCTGATACAGTTAAACTAAATTGATATGATTTATAATACTGTACCTTACCGTTCGCCTTTTTTTAGTCCTAAAACTGTTGATGCACTGTATATAAGCCATGAGAGGTGCAAAATTAACCCATGCCTCATCCATACAACGATAAATGCGGTGCAAATAAACGTCTCATGCCAAAATTTTAATGGGACGTATAGTGGTAATATAACCATAATTAAAGCGTAGAGAATCCAGTAATACCTATAACAAAACCCTTTGAGTACCGTTACATAATATGAAATGAGACGGTTTTTATTGTGCGTCATTTGAGGTCCACTTTATACCCCCTTTTTAAAATTTAAATTAAATTAAACAATAGGCCTAGTACTCACCTTTTTTGAAACATTACAACAGAATCCTGTTCCAAATCGGACATATCTATTTTATTGGCCAATTCTTCTTGCTCTGGAGTTGGTTTTCGAATAAAACAGTACACGTGCGTATAAATAAACCCTTTGGTAGGATTATATGGATCATTATGAGTACAGAACTGTTCATGGTGCAACCTATGGTATTTAACCCACTCATATATAGAACCCTAAGATGCCATTAGTAAGTACTGGAAATAAGGGTAGCTATACGTACTTGTCCCACCAACGTATGGCATAGCATTAAAAATATTTTTAAGGAATTTGTTGCCGTGTATGATCGGTGAGCCCATAGTCGATGAGCCCCAGCTGTAACTCCAATTACACCTAACCCAATTAAAAATCCACCTAAAAAACAACAACGGTTAGATTTTCAGCTATTTTCAACATATTAAAAAAAGTCTACAACCACAAACGATTATCCCAATATGCTATTATTTAGCGCAAAATTGTGATGTAAGTACATATCTCATAAACTATATTCTGGTCTAAACTATTAGAAAGATTAGGTGAATTCCTGAAAGATTTTATTTAGGGATTCTTAGGATATCTCACAGGAATTTTTTTGACAATATTGAGAGGCGAACGGAATAAAAGGAAGATACTTACAAAATAAAGATGTTAAAAAAGAAGCTTTTGTAACACCTAAATACAATCCATAAATTGTTAAAATTTGTATATAATTAAAAAACAAAAACTTTGGCCAATCGTCTTCTCTGGTTGGTTCTTCAACTTTTTCATCACAATCGGCCTTATTGTCGCACATCGTTAAGTAGATATATATATAATGCGAAATACACAATTCGGACCAATCAGTTAATTCCACGGTCAATACTATTATGACATTCAAAGTCTTGCACTTTAAAGTAAGTTGGTAGGTTCGCTTTTACATATTCATTAGCCGAATTGTTTATTGTCTAATGCTTGCAACGAAATCCATGGCGCCGGGACTTTTTAATTTTGGGAGGGGGATTAATTGTTTTGCGATGATGGTTGGCATTCATCGTGTCTCCCGGCACCCATAAATTTTCTGATTATTTCCTTTAATTGTTACGAAAGATTTTTCATTTTGTGAAATAATTTTCATTGTTTTTTCAGTTTCTTCCATTTTTTCATTCTTTAGGTTCCTGGAATATTTCCGTTTCTTACACATTTTTATGATTTTCTTTAAAAAAAGACACTAAACAAATTTTAATTAATAAAAGTGGGCAAGAAATGGACTGAAAGAGAGAGAGATACACCTATCGGTCTTGTTGCTCCACGAAAATATACTAATGCATAACTCCAGATTATCAAAATTTGCTGTAGCTCATTGTGGCTTCGAAGAAATTGAACATCCGCCTTATAGTTCAGTTCTAGGTTCCAATGACTAGGTATTATTTGTTCCCGAAATTTGAAAAAAAAACGCTAAGGGGGGCAACATTTAGGGACAATTACGTACGGCTGTTGAAGGCCATTTTACGGAAAAACCAAATAAATACTTTCATACTGGATTAAATATTTTATATTTATATATGAGCTTGAAAGACGTTGGGTTAGAATAAACTCTCAACAAACTCGATAAATTGAAAGCAGTAGATTCCGAAAAAAGACTGGGAGTACCCAACGCGCCCTTCCTTCATGATAACACCCGAAATAGAAATTCTTCCTTTTCGGTTTTGTTGGTTGAAAGATTCTGAAACTTCATGCATGCCACTGTAACGTTTGTTGTTCGTTTGGCAAGCATGTTTTGTATGTCCATCAGCATACGCATATAGTTTTTTTTATTCATTTATTGCCCCTCTTGTTGTAGGCCCTCAACAGGCTTACGCCCAATTACAGAGTGACCCGCATAATGCTTTTTAGAGAATATACTGCACCAGGAGGTGCGATCGCGCTATAGTTTCACCTCTCGTCAAACTCAAATCTTTCTAATTTGACTAATTATTCAAGAAATACTTTACGTACCAACCTAATACATATTCACGGTCAAGTTCTTTATTTGGCAGAAAATTCAGAAATAGACACAAGTCATTTCCTTCGATTATGCCTCAACTGCCTTTGTATTAAAAAGTTTGAATAGGCAATTTCATTGACACCGTGTACCTAATTAGTTAAAGGGGATATTTTAAAGTGATACCTACACATTTTTAGAGGAGAACAAAAGAACCAGATACCACTTATATAAAATGGGTATCAGCGGTACTGGAAATACAGCCCACAAAACATAAAATCTCACATTTTATGAATGCAAATTTTCTTAGTTAGTGTGCTTAACTAAAAATACTTAGCTTCACTTAGATCTATAATTGTCAATCTGTGATCACTTTATATTAGTCCATGAACAGGATGAATGTTTAGAAGTAAGATATTCTACAATAATTTTTGTGTCAGAATCCACTGGTATAATCCGAAGCGTTATGATGACGCTTGGGCGCTAAAAAGTAAACAAGTTAAAAAGTACCTAATCGTAAACGATTTACATAAAGCGCATTTCCACTTGCATTCATTTCCCATTTGTAAGATGCAACTTCTGTTAAAATCGTAAAATCCGGCCACAAATATGAAAGATAGCGTTGCACATGGGCAATCCATTTTTGACGTGCTACTTCAATTTCAGTTTATGAGAAGAATTTCATTTCAATGCTTTTCTAAATAAGAAAGTTGGAACTGCGCATGCGCAAACCTAAATTTTAAAACTAATGTTAGATTTTCCTTTGTTCCAAGCGCCTAAGTATCAAATTTCACTTACATAGTTCCATAGATAAAAAGTTGGCACTGCGCATGCGCAAAATAAAATTTTGAAACTGGCGCTAGATTTTCTTTTATTCCAAGTGCCTATGTATCACATTTCATTTAAATTCTTCCATAAATAAAAAAGTTAGCACTGCGCATGCGCAACGCCAAATTTTGAAACTGGCGTTTGATTTTCCTTTATCCCAAGTGCCTATGTATCAAATTTCGTTTAAATTCTTCCATATAAATAAAAAAATTGGCACTGCGCATGCGCAAAGCCAAATTTTGAAACTGGCGTTTGATTTTCCTTTATCCCAAGTGCCTATGTATCAAATTTCGTTTAAATTCTTCCATAAATAAAAAAGTTGGCACTGCGCATGCCCAAAACCAAATTTTGAAATTGGCGTTTGATTTTCCTTTATCCCAAGTGCCTATGTATCAAATTTCGTTTAAATTCTTCCATAAATAAAAAAGTTGGCACTGCGCATGCGCAAAACCAAATTTGAAATTGGCGTTTGATTTTCCTTTATTCGAAGTGCTTATGTATCAAATTTCGTTTAAATTCTTCCATAAATAAAAAAGTTGGCACTGCGCATGCGCAAAACCAAATTTTGAAATTGGGGTTTGATTTTCCTTTATTCCAAGTGCCTATGTATCAAATTTCATTCAAATACTTTTATAAGTAAAAAAGTTTGCAATTCGGTTTATAAATGGTCAAGATGCGAAAAGGGCACTGTGAATTTTGAATCGATTCGATTCAACTTTTGGCATTGCGTATTATATGGCTAAATCTATGCCCATATTGAATTTCATGCAATTCAGTTCATAACTAACGGAGATGTAAAAGTGATCGGACATTTCTAAACAAAGTTATCGTTCACACGGACAGATAGATGGATAGACAGACAAAGGAACAGACCGGACAGACCAACAGGCAGACGACAGATAGCAATGCAAAATTATAAACGATCTCTAGGATCGTTAATAAACGGCAAAAGTGTAAAATTATGGAACATGTAAAAAACGGTTGTTTTTTTTTTACAATAACTTTTTTTGTAAGCGGTACAGAAAAAATTCCTTCCTTGGTACAAGACTCGACACCATAACGAACCAAATAGCGAAAAAAGTAGAACAATAACTCTTAAGATAAAAAACTAGTAGCGTCGCAAAGTTAGCGGACGGACGGACGGACGGACGGACAAAGTGGCCACAATAGCGCATTTTTTTTTATTTTTGTGGAAATGCGCTAAAAAAACGCTAAAACCAAGATCACGTGGCTGGCGGTTAAGAAATATGTGGAGGATATTATAAGGATGAAAGGGGATCAGGTTAGGTTAGGTTAGACTAGTCGCGCACGAGTTTTTGAAGCGAACAGACCTGTTTTTGGGAGCTCCGTGGCCCCAAAAGTTGAGTATCGTGATATCGTTGTCCGAACATTTTGTGAGTGACACGGGCGAAGAGTGCTAAAAACCCTATTTTCCCTTCTGTGAAATCATCAACGTTTAATCGGCTATGTAGCTCAGTGGTAGAGCGTTGGGCTACAAAACCGAAGGTTGGATGTTCGAACCTGGGTAGAGGTAACAATATTTTTCATCTGTGGCAGAGATGGGAATTTCCTTTTAGAGCAGTTTCGAACATTCTGCCGGCTACTCCGAATTAGGTTTTCCTGCAGTTTTCCTAATTCGTAAGGTAAATACCAGAGTGCAGTATAGAACAACTTAAAACCTTCTACAAGGGCACCTCTAAAAGGCATTATGCGGGTCACTCTGTAATTGGGCGTAAGCCTGTTGCGGCTCTAGAACAAGAAGGACAATAAATAAAATAAAAATAAATAAAATCAACATTACTAACTGGTTTCTTACATTCCCTTGTTGTTTGAGGACTTGCTAGAGGTTTGCTCGATTTAGAAATTGTAAAATAGAAATTAGTAATTGCATGCCAATGTTTAATGCATCCACAATTCTATGAAAAATCAAACTTATTTCGTGAAAGTGGATATTTTTCTCGTTTAAAATAACAGTTAACATTAGAAATAAGTACTTTTTCTTGGTAAACCTGATGGCATTTTTTTCGTTATACAACTTTTAAAGCAATTCTAACGTTTATTGTGGTTTAAAATGATTTTTTTCGATCCGTTGGCATTACAATATTCCCCAAAAAAACAGAATTGATGATCTGCGCGCAAACTGAGGAAACCCCCAATTTACTTTTTTTGATGGATCTAGTTATATTGTAGCAAAAAACAAAAGTAACTTACACCAACACACTAACTAAATATAAAATCTCTTTGGTTAGGCAAAATCTACCGTAGACCCATGTAAGATATTCAAATTGAAAACCCTCCGCTGCAGTGCATTTAGCGCGAATCCTTTGAAATTTTAGTATTGCACGCTGAATAAAATAATTAGTGAACGAATAAAGGGGACTGACATGAATGCTGAATTTAGAAAAGTGTAGTTTGTGGCTCATAGAAAAAGATGAAATTACATAATTATTACATTCAGAAAGCAATACCATACAAATGTGTATAAAGACGAGTTCCTCAAATTGCATAAAAACGGCATTTATTAAGTGCATAGCGCGGGTATTGCCAGCCAATTTTTTTATAAAAAAAGGGGAGTGGAGTCATTCATTTGGAGAGGGCTGGCATAGCGATGGAAATAGGACCTTGTTTTTCTCTTATTCAGGTATAATTCCCGACATGATTGATATTTTTAATATTACGCTCTGAAATTTTGCATTAAATTTTCCGAGTCTCCTTCATCTTAGCGGTACTCTCTACTAACTGTGCATTTACAACCTCTGTAATATTAAAATATTACTCACAACCCTTTCGTCTGGATAATACAAAATTGTTTGACCCCCTTTTAAACATTTCTTGTACGTTCACAATTTAACGTGCCACTGCAACAGCAAGTGTTTTACATGTATTTTATTTGTTCAGAATAGTCAACTCTTTGATAAAAATATGAAGGGAAGTCGCACCGATCTCCATAGAAGTTGTCTCGATTGAAAAATTCCCCTAGGTCATGGTTCGGATTCGTGATATATGAAGTTACAGAGTTTGGCAACGGCCAGAATTATGCCGATCAAAGTAGATATATAATGCC